CTCGGTAGTCTCGTCTTCTTCAGAGCCTGGTATGATCAAATTGCCCACAATCTAATCAGTCAACACACCTCCACTGCTCCTCTTGAAAAAGTCACTAGACCCAGATTTCGATCGCATCAAGCATCATATATATATATATATATATATATATATATATATATATAGAGCGCATGTGGCGCAGTGATTAGAGGTGCTCTGCGTCGCACACGAGGTCAATGGTTCGATCTCGCGCTCATGGCTCACCAAGCCATCCATCCCTCCGGGGTCGGTAAATTGGTACCAGACAGGTCTCAGACTTGTCTGGGAGGATAAGCAGCACTGACTCGGTTCAGCGGGAGGCCACCGCGAGTCATTGTAAAGGCCAGATTTGCATTCAATCACTTCAAGCGAAGTTAAAAATTGAAGTCGAATGCATGGCGCATCCCTCAGGGATTGATCAACGCCGAGAGCTTTATACTTTCTCCTTTATATATATATATATCATATATATATATATATATATATATATATATTGTATCACTTAGCTGTCAGCTTAACCAGGTTTGATGCCGATTTATATTTAGTGGACCAAAGCGTATGACGATTGCTGATAGCTCCGATACTTTGTATACCAAGAAAGAGACCGCTCCGAATAAAACGCGAGTTCAACTTTTTCGCGAAGTCGTTGTACATAGCACTTAGCAATCTTGGATATTTTATTTTTCAAATTTTATTGTTGGGCAATAATTCTGTAATTGCTCAGACATGATATTTATGGTAATAGCCTTTATCTGAAAAATAAAAACGGTTTTTTTTTCGTTTAACTAGAAAATGGTAATAATTACTTGCAGATGGAATGACGTCATGAAATATTCACATAACTATTCACACTTCAATGTGTTTTCGCGAAATCGATGGCTGACTATATTTCTTCTCGGAAACTGCTGCCTTTTTGGACATAGTCCTATTACCGGGTTTTCCTGCTATATTTGCAGTTTTTTTTTTGAATTAGATACTGTGAATACTGTGCGTTAGCACTATATATGTACCATAACAACTTTCATCAAAGGCTCAAAATATGTTATCAGATTATGGAGTCAAAGCTTCTATGATTCGAAAGAAAATTGTCGCTATTTCTAATTTACTCCATCGAGTTCTTGCTCTTTTATTCGACAAAAAAAAAAACCTTGGAAATGACTCTGTTTTGTAGAGAATAGTAAAATTAATAAGAAATATAGACTTCATGATTACCATCAGAGTCAATATGTTACTCTCTAGAAGGATGGGAACGACCAGAGCAGACCGAAGATTAATCTGATGATCGGCTATGAGCAGCAACGAACGCAACGAATCCACTTATCCTCTTCAGTCGAGCAACTTGTTCAACTAAATAAGACAATTTTCCCCTTTCTCTTTCAAAGCTGCATTCCTATTTTGACTTGTTTCCTGAGCGTTCGAGCGCACATAGCGCAGCGTAGTGGTTAGAGGGTGCCCTGCAATACACACTTGGTCATTTCTTCGATTCCACACCCGAGTTTACCAAGTCTCCATCTTTCCGGAATTACGTAACAAGTGTTAATAGTAGGAATAGCAACTCGACTCGAAACATTGACGCACTACTGTAAGTCATTGCAAAGCACGATATGCACTCAACATTTTCATTATTTCACAAATGAAATCGAGTGCAGGGCTCAGTCCGTAGGGATTGATCAATGCCAAACATTTCAATCTTTATAGTTTAATCAATTGCTTTAGAACTCGTCTTCATTTGGAATTGTACTGATTTGTTTGGCGATTTCCTTGGTATTTTTGATTTAGTGGACGTATAATCAACTAGAACTTTTTTTAAACCACTTTTAGAGGTGGTATGATATCATAAATATACACCCAATAATGTTGAGTGACTATACAAAACTTTGAACGTCGGACGGGATTTGAACCCACATTTCACCCTGTGGGAGCCCGTGCTAACCACTGCACTTCTGGCGCTCCTGTTCTGCCATCACTCTTTCTCTGACACAATTGCTTTGATTTGGCAGCAACCAACCGTCAACGTCAGCGGTTTGCTCTATCAATTCGATATCGACATTGAAACTTAATCACACTGACAATTATTGTATATATGTATAATCAACCAGAATTATTTTTATTTGACTGCTTCAAACAGGAAACAAATGTTGCAAATCTATATTCGATAATGTTAAGTTATATGCAAAACTTTGGAGATCGGACAAGATTCGAACCCGCATTTCACCCTTTCCGGAACCGCGTGCTAAAATACTGATGATCGTTGGCTATAGCCTAGCCTTAGCTAAGTTTTCGCAACATAAATATCGAGTTCTCCTCAGTTTATCGCCGGTCATGAATCACAAGGAGAGCAAACTTCGTATATTTATAGCTTTATATTTAGATCAGATCTTGAGGTGCCTGCTAAAATATCAGCTGGCTTGTCGATTAAAACAGCTCAGAAGTAATAACTCGTAACACATCAGTATAACAGTATTGATTAAAGTCAATGGTTGCTAATCAGTAAAACTGAAGTCATTTTGAACCGTGATTCTTCTGGTCAACAGAAAATCATATAGTGCACTTCTACAATGGGTTAATTCTATTGTTTTTTAGCCGACAATGGACACATGCTAGTCTAGAGGGGTTTTTAAAACCATTTTTATGTGTAGTGGGAACGTAGGTTAAACATTAAAATCGTCATCAAAATAAACAATTGTAGATCCAGAAGAAATATGTTATGGAATATCTAATTTAGAGTTTTCTGAAGTTTTGCCATGAAGCTATCCGGACTTAATAGTTTTTAGTAAGAAAAATTACGTCAGGCTGTGGTCTTCAGTAGACACGTGTTTTTGCTAAGAGCTAGAGATCCTGCCTCTCTTAGGAGCGAGACAAGCAAAGCAAAATACAAATTCGAATTTTTCAAGCAATTGACGGAGTGTAGTCACTAATAGTTAATCACGTTCTGTGACGTCGCTGCTTTACTTACAGCTAGATGTAAAGTGTGAAAAGAAATTTCACACTCGTTACATATTGGTGGACCGTAATGGTGGTATGAACCTCTTCTCAATTACCTATTGAACATTACATTGCGGCAGCAAACGGTATCTCTCAATCACTATAGGATAATCTGATCTTCTTTTTTTCTCGCAGGCAGTATTGAATTCGAGAGACTCACTGAAAAATCTTGGAAATAAAGGTCTCCATTTCGAGCGGCGATTTTTAGGTTAGCTCGATCATTCTTTTAAATATTCTAAGCTGAGATTGTATCCTGTACGAAATCGATGGTGTTTGATTTTACTTTATCCTATTACAACTCATATTGCAGTTCTCGGTACTGGCTTTCTAATAATCTCGGCAATGTTCGAAACGTCCGTGTTTCATTCTTGAGCGAGTACAAAATTATCAGTAACAAGATCTAATCAACCCTAGTTAGTGTTTCGACGGTTTCACTTTCTTCAAACCTTAGAAAAGTCGAACTGAGCCGCAACCTACAGCCTGACATTTTGATAGCCACGCACAAAAGCTTAGTGGACATAACTCGGATTCTTAGGCGAGTTTCCAACTTCCGATCACACCTTTCAGGTTCTCGCGTGCGTGTACTCACCATGCCAACCGGAGTGCTTTGTTTTGTCTTTATCTTGGCATTGTTTTTACTCTGCCAGTGCATGAACAATCATTCGTCAATGAGAAGAACTCGGACACTTTGAGTATTGAGTGCCATGCTGTGAAAAAAAGTGACAGACAGCGAATGAGAAGTCAGAACACTGCGATTTCGTCTACAACTAAACTCAGATCAATGCCGATTCGTACTCCCTCAGATCATTCCTGCTAACTGATCACTGATTGCACCGATAAGGTTGCGAAATAGCGAGAGAATGGCACAACAAGGTCTTTGATGGTCTTCTGAACGTAGTCTACGGAAAGGATATTCGCTGGTTCGCACCTCAACTGAGGTTTTAATTCTCTCGTTTCTCAGCATCTAAGTGGTTGTGTTTCATTCCCATCGAACCCTGGTCATAAATATAACAAGCAGCAACTAAATGTGAAATCAACACATAAAGTTCATTCGCATAGTGAATTGCTTTTCGAAGCACTTTTCGTTTTAACATTTTCTTGATAAGACAACATGAGTTTGTGATCTTGTAATTCATTTACAACAGCTGACGTTTTAGCAAATTTTGCCTTCTTCAGAGCCTAGAAAGATCAAGCCTCTGAAGAAGGTGAAACACTCCGAAACGTCAGTTGTTGTAAATAAATGTATTGTGTTTGCCTATCAAAAAAAAAAAAACAGTGGATTAATGATCAATGACAGGGCTAATAGGAAGTCGGGCTTGAAAATCAATTCTCGTTTTCTTTTATAAAAGTTATAGAATCTTGATTCCTACTAAACGCAAAGAGGCACGCCACTGCATGCAAACAGCTCTGTTTTTTTAGTGCCATCCCTTTTCAATAAATGACATCATTTCGTCCTAATGTGCCATAGCCTAACCTTTTCCTTATGTTGCTTTCCTTCCCAATATTATACATTTTTGTCGTCAACATGTTGACTTTGAATCAATGGAATTGTCCTAAAAAATAGACACTAAGCAGCCACAACGTTCCGCCTTCTTCATGATATTTTAGTTGAAAGCTCACTGTATGCTCCCAAATCTTTAACAAAGTCTCTTCGGAGTTTTCGATACTTTCTACGTAAGCGCGATTCTATTTCTTGTTTCAATGCATTTTTTTTCCAAAATTTCTCATGTTTTCACTGCTTTTTCACAGTACTACATATCACAATGCTGTCAGCTTAACTAGGTTTATAAAGCTTACTTCAGCCGCCTTTAGTGGGCTGAACAATCCTTGGTTGAATTTAACAATTTTTTCCATTATAATCAGTCATATCAAAAAATTCTTTGAATGCTTACCCGAACCTGCTGGAGAATGGTCTTACAGCTTATCCGAAACCTGTTAGAGATTGGTGGCTGACAGCTATGATAAAGACATTGAGGAATGAGTAGTGACAAAATGGTGCCTCTGTGGTGTAGTGGTAGCACGCGCCCCCGGTACGGGTGAAACACAGGTTCAACTCCCGCATGAGGTCGGGTTTTTGCTCACCACTCAGTTCTCTTAGTTTCATTTGGAGCAATCTCTTTCTGTTGACTGCTCTTATTCCATACAAATTCGCTCTATAACACTTCAACTTTCTCGTTTAATATCTGCTGAGAAATTCAGTGTATCTCTTAGAATTTCATCGTATACTATATTCGCTTTCCTTAAAGTTTCACGTGTTACAATTATTTCCGATGTCAATGCGTACGCTACTCATTAAAGCTTCAATATTGAGGGCAAATTCTCTTTATCACGCTGCGCTTTAAGTCTAACATTACAGTACGAAGAGTAATGACACTACAGCGATTTTTCTCGTAGAATATGAGCTTAACGACATCGTTTGGTACTTCATCCGAGTTGAGCCTTTCGGGAAGTGAACACTTCAGAAGACATCAAATGTTACCACGTCTCGAAGAATTACATTGGTCGTGCAACATTCGTAAGTTTATGATGTCACCACGATAGCCATTTCTCAATAATAAGATGGACTCTGATGTAGTTTGCTAACTTAGATATTGTAGTGAGAAAGAATTTCGAAGAACAACTGTTATTACTTGAGGGTTTGAAGGAATTTGTAATGGAGCGTTAGAGAGCAAAGGACGAAACGCTCCGCGATGATTAGTTCCTGCTGAATGTGCCATACACTTCAGCTTCATTTGAGCCTCATCTATTAGTGAAAACGGCTGCCTCCACACATAGCGTAATCAGCACGACGTGGTCCACTGATAAATCAAATCACAACTTTTATTCTAGCGAACTAGCCTGATACAAATATGTCTACACCGATGAAATAAAATATCTGACAAGTTCAAGAAGGGGATTCGAACAAACGGACATTTGCAAATTTCTGAACACATTCAGCTATTGAATGATGCTACATGCAATCGCCTTCACCAAGCATCACCAGAGGTGACCGAATTCATCATGGCCTTTACATTAGCTCGCGATTACCTACCGATAAAATATGTAGGTGCTGCTGTCTTTTCAAAATATTGGTATCATTTGCCTACCGCGGAGGGATCAAAGTTTTGATGATCATGGAGCGTAGAGGCCGTTATGTTTTCTCTAAATAATATCAAAGACAATTTAACAAGCTTTAAAATTACATTCGACTAGCATGCCGTAGATAGGAAACTGTTTTTCTTTTGAAAACAGAGATTGTTTGTTGAGAAAAATCATGTGTTCAAGAACTTATTAGTCTCTTATCATTGCAACCAACATTGACGAGCTGCAATTTGTTTGGATCAGTCTGTTGGACCTGGAGTAATAAAATTAAGTATTCAAGATTATGAATTGAGTACAACTGTTTATAAAGAAAACTTATTTTTCTTTCTAAGTATTCAGCCTTATAGTACGTTTTTTTCTCAGAAAACCAAAGAGAGAAAGGCTGGGAGAGGAGTAAGAGAGATAAAATAGATGAGAAAGTTAACTCGTATCCGTGTTTTTTTGACAACTGATGCCATCATTTTTTCATTTTCAGCTTCTGTCCAAAATGTGTCGACATCGTTGTCCACACTACCGACATCGTCAAATCGATCAAGGTGGTAGCGTTTACGTTTTACACTATTTTCATATGATTCTTGATTTTCTTCTTTGAGCAGAACACAAGGTGTTACATTAAACTTTATTCGATAGCTGACGTTTCGGCAGTTCGCCTTCTTCAGAGCCGCTTTTTATATGTGTTCCACTGGATGATCCAAGTGGAGATCACCGGCAAGAGAGACACATAGGACCTATGTGACCTATGTGTCTCTCTTGCGGTGATCTCCACTTGGATCATCCAGTGGAACACATATAAAAAGCGGCTCTGAAGAAGGCGAACTGCCGAAAACGTCAGCTATCGAATAAAGTTTAATTGTAACACCTTGTGTTCTGCTCAAAGAAGAAAATCAAGAATCATACTGAAGCATGCCGAGGTTAATAGACAGTCGGTCTTGGGAACTATTTCATATTTATTCATTTTTTAAATGTGATCAAGACGGCTTTTGTTTTTTTCTGCTTTGAACCATGTCCCAAAATAGTTGTTTTTGTGCTTATAAAGATAAATAGGACTTTTTCTCTCCATAGTTTTGAACGGAAGCCAGTTATCAAACCGATATAAACTTTTCCTCTAATGTTGTGGTGTCTTCACCCAGATTCGTTTTAAGGAAGCTTGTTTACGTTGGTTTTCTCAGCTTTGTTCACAAAAGATTGAGCATTATTAAACTACTTCATTCGATTTTGAAAGTCTTTCTCCTCAAGGTTTTTTCCTTTGAGCAGACAAAACTTTATTAATTAATTTCCAAATGTTTTGCATGGCATTACATATTCCAACAATGCCAAACTGTCTGATTGAGAGGCTCCTCATCTTTGATGTGAAGTTGGACAACATTATTTCGTTGGTTTTATTAGAGAAAATCGTTAACTTAGTGAATAAGCAAATATTGAAAATCTTCTGAGCACGCCATATCTGAGCAATAATCAGTAACTAAGCTTATCGCATAATGTCATTCTATCGGGAGTGAACGCAGAATAACGTTGATTATAATAATTTTTCTTTTACGCTTATAAGCCTTCCTATAATTACACGGCACCATTTAAGCCTAAATGCTTTACTTGATATACATCAAACTCTCAAAAGTCAATGTTAGTTGGCAAAATAAAAATTGGATATTAAGTTTTCCCATAATTTACCGGGAGTGGAGATAATTTAACAAAGATACAGCTTGATGACGAAGGCCAAACTTTCTCAAAATGTGAATTCTATTAGTAGTGAGAATGATTGATTTATTTTTAGAAAGTTACTTCTGGAAAATTGGACTGGTAAAACTAAATCTTCCAATGTCGTGAGACTTTAGCGATTCTTTCGTTCGTCTCAGTCTGCTTCAGCCCATTCCATCCCGCCCCAACGCGGTTTTGCATTGAAATCAGTATTAATTAAACAGTTAATTTTGAAGCTGCAAATGTCGTGAGGTCATTTTTCTGTCCCTTAGTTCATAAAATAGAAAGAAAACTTGACAGAGGCTCTAGGGGTCAAAGTGGTTTTTTGAAGGGTTATTCTCACCATACTAAGAACACTATGGTCTGCTTGGTACAGAGTGTAATAGTCAACAATCATCTATAAAATGGGTGGGTTCGTGCACTAGTTCGGAGCCGACTAAAAAGATCTACTGTCTTCTATCCTTACCAACACATCAAGGAACAATTTTATTCCTGGGATGATGGAATCGCCGTACTGGGGTGTGCCCAGGTCTTCACCACTGATAATTGTCAGCTCTTGCAGATCACAGGAAAATTTATTGCCTTGAGACTGAATTTTCCATGGCAGTAGTGGATGCTGAGATTATTTGATTAGCTGATTAGGCTGTATAAGATGGAAGATATCAAGTACTCACAACGATTGGTGTTTCGTACCTTGATAGGGATCGGATTTTCCTAAACATGCTCTGGTGACTTATGATATTCCGGACATTTCCGCTCTTCTGGTTTTCTCAGATGGGATTGAACATCAACCCTTCAGGTTGCCGACTTCACTGAAAAAACTTTAGTGCGAATCTCGTTAATTAGTGACTTTTCTTCCGCTCCCTATGGACACAAAAGTTTTTTAAAGTACCAAAAGATGAAAAATGTTACTATAAACATGTATAAGTAAACAATTACCTAATTAATTAATTTGTATCATATTACTTGAAAATAATTGCCGCTTTTAATTTCAAATCAACGTATCTCAATTCGTTGCGAGTTTTCTTGTTTGTAATAAAATCTATTGAAATGTGGAAGTTTTTGAAAGCAGATTGAAGTTTTCTTCTAACGGTCAAAATCCCAAGTCTGTGCAGTTCACGCTGAACATTTCCTTCAATTACTGGTTTTAAGTTTTGATGCTTACGTTTCAGAAAACAAATGAATAAATATCTAGTCTATAAGGAAAAAGTCTTGTTTCTCGATGTATACGCCATGCTTACAGCTGGCGCTCCAGCTTCGAAAAATTTGAATAGCTTTTCTTCAGCTTTTTGAAGTTCACCGGAATTCTGCCCGTGTTTATATTTGTAGAGACATTTTCAAAATTACGTGTAAGATCACCGCGATAGGGCAGTCTTCCGTGGATGTGTATAATTTCTAGCTCCCAAGTTGCTTCATTTATCAAAAGATTGTTGCCAGTGTTGGAAAGCCTTCCTCGCGAGAGTGCTAATAGAACGATTTCTCTTATTGTCGACAAGCGATCATTTGAGTAATCGGAGAATTCACCACCTTCACACAAATCGCTGCAGTTCTTGAGGGAAGGGGTTCTTTGTTTGAAGGAGCTTCTTCAGATCCACAGAGCCTCATTAGCCTATTTTGAAGTCTGGCTCATTTTATCGCTCTTAGTATAGGTGTTGTCTTCCGGGAATCTAGATGGCAAGGCAAACTTTCTTCCGGTCTATAAAGATTAGCTACATGTTCTTCTAAAAGCCTAGGACGTTTAGCTCTAAATATCCTAGAATTCCAAAAGAAAAGTCGTCATCAGTCTGCACTCAGTGTATTAATAAAATGAGTAGACAGCAAAGGATATCATCTCATCAAATCTAGCAAGTCTTATCAAATCAAGCAATCTTCTAAGGTAATGCTTGTACGACAGTCAAACGATTAGAAAAAATGATTGAAGCCGCACAACATTCGTAAATGAATCGCTGAAATATTTGAATATGGTAGGAAATCAGCCGATGTCTGTGAAGCTTGATAAAGCGCTTAAATAAACCGTAGGCTAATTTCGCTGCATTCGAAAACGAATGGAATTTTTTAGTTTTTTATGCAGAGTATTTGAATTTTCTCACTTTAAATCTTTACTGTATATTTACCATTCAATTTTCATTATTTACCGCCCTGTTCCGGTAAAATATCCCTTCCTAAAGTATCATTTCAGTGGTCCGAAGATTCAGTGAATAATGGGCTTTTGATAGTCGATACACTTTGTTAAACAAAAAAACCGTGAATGAAGAACGAACCTTGTTAGCCATTGTTGTCGTGCGCGCCCTA